AGACTTGTTTACATGTCTTCACATTCCAACAGATGCAGCCTTCTGTGCCTTTGTTAAGGCAGCTCTTTGCTCACCCAGTGGTCTTTAATTCTCAGCAAGCCTCAAAGAGGCCTTCTCTCTGCCTCTCACCTCTGTGCCAATTCCTGGGTTCAGAATGGTAGCCTTCTGGGTCCCTGTGTTGTACTGTCATCTATGTGGGGTTCTGGCTGGGGCTTTTTCACAGTTGGGATGGTATCTGGCTAGGGTATGCCCTCCTACATAGCTGTTGTCTGGGAGGGCCTTTGGCTGGGGACTGAGCACCCCACTTGCTTGTTTCTGGGCAAGTTCTAGCTAGGGTCTACACACACTTATCGATGGTATTAAGGCAGGCCTCTGGCTGTTGCTTGTGTATCTGTGAAGCTCTTTTCATGGCAGGTCTTTGACTGGGGCTTGTGGGCCCAAGCAACTGGGGTTGGGGCCCGGCCCTGGCCTCATGTGTCTGTAGCTATGCTGCTGTGGTCCATACCAGCTTCTCACTGGGATCTGCTTACACTTACTGATGGTATCGGGGCTGGCCTCTGACTGTTGCTTGTGTACCTGTACAGCTCTTTTCCTGGCGAGTTTTTTGCTGGGACTTGTGGGTCCAAGTGGTCAGGGGCCTGGCAATGCCCTGGCTGGATGTGCCTGCAGCTATACCTCTCTGGTCCATACTGGCTTTGCAATGGGTGATCAGTCTATTTGAAATGAAATACATTGTAGATATCCGATATTTGTTCTTGAAGTAGAATCTAAATCATGGAGAAGTGTTGGGGGAAAGTTAAAAGTCTTGTGCCTCAGAGCCAAGCCCTATGGATGCTGGATGCTGAGGCCTGAGTGCCTATGAGTGGTGGCAGGACTACCATGGACTCCCAATACAGTGGATGTGGTTGTTGGGAGGCCGATAGCTTCCTGTGTGTGTGGCTGGCATTTGCCACCCTCTCTCATCAATGACTCCATGGTAGGGAAGTCCCTCAAGTTCCTGACAGAGAAAAAGAACAAAAGGCTGGAGTTAGGTGGCCCTGTGTACAGGCCAGCAGCCCTGGTGGCAGTGAAGAAATCTCTGGGACAGAGTGATATCTCTTTAAATCCTTTGTCTTGTTATCACTGAATCATTTTTTGTGTTTGAATTGTATGATTTCTTTATATATTCTGGATAAAATATCCTGGACAGATATATCATTTGCAAATTTCCTTCTCCTATTCATTGATCTCATTTCCCTTTGTAATCACATATTTTGCAGTAAATTTTTTTTAATTTTGATGGAGTAAAAATTATATGTTTTTCTTTACTGTTTTTGCTTTGAGTTTGAAATCTTAGAATCTTCTGCCAAAGATGAGACTATGAAAGCTTACTGCCTTGGTATTTTTCTAAGAGTTGTATAATTTTATGTCTTATATTTTGAGGTGTCTTCTTTATTTTGAGTTAGGTATTATACACAGTTGAAGTAAGGGGCAGGTTTATTCTTTTGCATGGCACTATCCGGTTGTCCAAGCACCTTTTTTCTTCTTAAATAACACCCTTTCCAAATCAATTGTTATGATGCCTTCCTCAAAATCTAACAAATCATATGCACATGTGTTTATCTTTGGACTCTAAATTCTATTTCATTTATCTAATTTATCTAATTATCTACTTGAGCCAGTACCATACTGACTTCATTTTTATAGCTTTGTGGCAAATTTTGATATTGGAAAGTATGAATCTTACAGCTTCATTCTTCACTTTCAATATCATTTTGACCCCTTGAAATGACTAACAATATTCAAGGACAATGTTTGCCCCAATATTTTGGGCCACTTAAAGTTCCATACAATTTTAAAAATTAAACTGTCATTTTGTACAAAGAAACCATCTAGGACTCTAGGGCAGAATGCATTAAATCTACAAATGAATTTTAAGAATGTTGACATTTTAATAATAAAAAATGTTCTAGTCCATGGTCTTTAAATATTTTGCCTATTCATTTCTATCCTCTTTAATTCCAACATTTTGTGGATTTTCCTGTATGTCACTTTTCTTGCTTGTTGTTGTTGTTGTTGTTGTTGTTGTTGTTGTTTGGTACCAGGGATCAAACTCAGGACCTTGTGCTTGCAAGGAAGGCAGCAGAACCACTAAGCTAAATCCCCAGTCCAGTGTATGTCACTTTTTTCAGATTTGTTGCTAAGTATGCTTCTTTTTTGACATTGTTGTCAGTGGATTTGTTTGCTTTTGGACTGTTCTTTATGGTGTATAGAAATATGACTTATTTTTATATATTAACCTTATATTCAGAAATATAGCTGAATACATTAGTACTTACAATATGTGACTAAAAAGTGTGAGAGAGGAATTCTTGTATTTTACCTTATCTTGGAGGCAGATACTAAGGTATTACTATCATGTTCGCTAGGTATTTCTGATGGATGCTCTTTATCAGGTTGAGGAAATTTTTCTATTCCTGATTGACTTTTTCTTTTCTTTCTTATTAGTATATATTTGTGAAACATAATATGTTCATCATGGTGAACTGGTAATATACATATTGCATCTCTATCTTGTTTACTTCCCTCTCCCCTCATTTCTCCCCTATGGCCCCAGACCTGTTTGATTTTTTTAATAACAAAAAGATGTTGTGTTTTGTCAAAGTGTGTTTTACATATATTCCACACAATGTATTACTTCTAAGGAATATACCATTTAGTGATGTATATAATCATTTTTATATGTTGAAGGGTTCAATATGACAAAATTTTCTTGAGGGTTTTTCTCCAGAAATATTAGATATATTAGTTTTTTATTGCTCTTTTCCTGTTGTGTCTTTGCTCCTAATTTTAGGGCAACATTGACTTTATGAACTTTGGGGGCATGTGTTCACTCCTGTATTTCAGACATGTTCCTAAATAGTTCCTGTTAATTCTTTAAATATTTGTTAAAATGCACCATTGAAACCACCTGTGTCTGAGGTTTTCTTTGTAGATAGTTCTTGTCATAGCAGGATTTGCAAGGAACAGTTTTTATAAAGGACACATAATTTATAGGATTATTTTATAATATTCACCTAAAATGCAGAGGAGTACAAGATCTAACTGCACACTAGAGATACAAAGAATCCAGCAAAAGGCCTGTATCCCACAGTAATATTCCACACAAATCTAGCTGAAGGCCTAAAGTCCAAGGCAATGTCCTCCACGAGTCCAGCAAGTGGCCTACACCCATGACCACATCTCACACTTGTCCATATTGAGGATCTGTACCTGGAAGGCCCAAAGGCCAGTGGTGGAAACGAGAAAACATGCACTGGTGGTTTGAAGGATTTGTACCACCAATCTGAAGGATCTACATTGGAGCCAGGAAGTGATGCTCATGGTGAAGATCAGAGCTTCTCCGACGAGAACAGCAGCCATTCCCTCAACACGGAGGACCTCAGCTCCTCCCCCAATGAGAACAGCCAAGTTCACATTAGGAAAACCAAGTACAGCAAGCTTCTCCTAGAAAATCAAAAGCCCACAATCTTCCTCTCCAGTTCTCTTTTTATGCCATTGGCAACAATCTTCAAGTGGGTTTTCCATGACCAACCAGGCTGATTCAATTTAACTGGAGATTCCAAGTCAACCATTAGTTAACTCACCATAGTTCTTTATTTTTAATACTGCCTCACTGCATGTTATAAGTCTATGCATGTGGTATATTCATTTCTTTATGAGTCCATTTCTGTAAAGTACATTTTCCTCTGATTTTGTTCATTTAATCTATTATATTATTTATATCATTGTTCGAATGGTGCAATTGTTAATAGAATTTCTTTATATGTCTCTATTTATTGAATTCATAGAATTTTCTCCCTTCAATTTTTGTTTTTTATTATTAGCATATGTTGTAGTATATGCTTATTACATTTCTTGTGAGGAGTTGACACATATACATAATAATTTCAATTCTTTTTTGTCCCCGATCTCTCCTTCTCTCCATCTCTTGATTCCCTTTTCATTTGAAAATGATCTGTTTTTTTATTTCCTATTGTCTATCTTTTATTTTGTTTTTTATTTATCTTTTTGATTTCTCATATAAGAGAAAGCATGCAATCTTTAAGCTTCTGTGTCTGATTATTTCATTTAACATTATGATCTCAAGGTGCATTAATTTTTTTTTTTTTTTTTTTTTTGGTACCGGGGATTGAACTTGGGTCTTTGCGCTTGCAAGGCAGGCCACTGAAGCACTGAGCTACATCCCCGGCCCTCAAGGTGCATTAATTTTAATCAGCTTACTTCTGCCCTTTGACTTTGAATGCTAGTAATTTAATCATTTCTTTTTACTTCTGGGTGAATATAAAAAACATTTTGCCAATTTTGTTGCTATTTTCAAAGTAATACTAGTTTTTGTTAATTTCAATTGTGCTTTATTTTTTATTTTATTAGATTCTACTGTGTTCTTTAATATTTTCTTCCTTCTTTCTGCTGAGGTTCATTTGCTCTTTCTTCCCTAATGCTCTATGGTATTAGGTTTGATTATTAATTGCAGCTCTGTATTACTCAATAGCTATAACTTTCCCTCTCAACTCTGCTTTTGATTCATCATACACTAATTGTATTCCCCATTTGTTATCTCAGCCAGTTTTGTAAAAAAATCCTCTTATTTTTCTTTGATCCATTGGTTATACCTGTGTACATTTAATTTCACATATTTGTGAACTTTCCAATTATTTATATCTGTTTTCATCGTATGCTAGTTGAGAAACTTCTCCTGCATTAGTTCTACCCTGGCTTCTCTTTCTTGAACAGCACAATTGGTTACAGCACCAGACTAAAGCCTGATCTGTGCAAAGTGACTCTTCTAATAATCAAAAAGAGGAGAAGAGGTCAGGGTGTTCAATCCTCCTCCTCTGATCAATGCAGATGTGGCCAATGATGACACTGTCATGGTGGTGGCCCTGTGTGATGGGCCCTTGCTCAGCTCAAGGTAAATTTGGGATTTTCACGGTTTCCTTTTTGTCTTTCTCCTACAGTATTTTTTCCATTCCTTACACCAGTAATGGAAGCATTAAATATCTCTATATTTCCAAAAGATGTTACAGATTTTTTTAAAAAATCAATTGAGGAGATTAAAGAAAGTCGCCTCAAGGAGAAAGAAAAGGTAAAATCTGGTGGTATGCATGTGGGTGTTCACTCGCTGACAAATTATTGGATTGTACCCATATGATTTCTCCTTTCTTCCCTTCCCTCATTCTCTCCCACTCTCCCTCCCTCTCTCATTCCTTTCTTCCTTCTGCTTCTCTTTCCTTCTGATTCTCTCTCTCTCCCTCTCCCTTTCCCTCTCTTTCCCTCTCTCTGTCCCATCCCTCTTTTCTCTCATTCATTTCCAGCACACTTATTCTTTATTATGAGAAGAACTTCATTGAATCCCTAAATGTCCCAGGATCAGTTCAAATTTGCAAACCCTCCTGCCTCGGCCTCCCAAAATGTTGGGTTTACTGATGTTCACCACCATGCCTAGCTTATGCATGTGATTTCTGTGCATATCTGTATTGTCTTATGCCTTATACAGGAACCTAATAACCTAAATGACAGTAAATGTTATATATCCTAAATGTAAGATAAAATTAATAATATCAGTGAGACTACAAATGAGGAAAGGGGATTTAGAAGAGGATGAAGAAAGGAAGAACTAAAAAAGAATCAAGCTGTATTATGTACATGTACCCATGCTCCAAGATAATTGTAAACTGCATGGACTGCAAACATGTACTAATAAAAAAATAAAAATGAAAGTTAGATGGAAAACTCTAAGAGAAAGAGCACTCTCACATTTTAGGGAGAGTGCAGAATGGGTCAAAAAGAAAACATTTATGGGACCGGGGATTTAGCTCAGTGGTTCCACCACCTGCCTCGCAAGCACAAGGATCTGAGTTAGATCCCCGGTACCAGAAAAAAACAAAACAAAATAAAAACACACATTTAAAATTAAATGATAGGCATGACAATTAGTTTATCATGGCATGCATATTGTTGAGATAAAATCTTTACAAAATTCCAGAAAAAAAAAGAAATGCTGCAAACTATTGGAGGGAAGGTAAATTAGAAGAGTCAATACAGAAAACAATACATGGATTTCTTAAATTATTAAAGATAGAACTACTATGTATTCCAGTGATCTGCTATAGGGTATATATTCAAAGGAAGTGCAAGCAGTACGCTTAAAAGACTTCACTCCCATGTTAACAGCATCACTATTTTTTAAATATTTTATTGATACATAATGATTGTATACATTACTGGCACTGAGTGTTATATTGCCATACATCATTATAGCAATGTCCACAATAGCCAAGAAATAGAAACAACCTAAATATGTACCAGTTCATGGATGGGTAAAACATTGTGGAACATATACAAAGTGATATACTATTCAACTATTCAAAGGAGTGAAATGTTTTCACTTGCAACATAGATGGAACAGAAGATTGTCACATTAAGTGAATTAAGCCACCCACAAAAAGACAAGGACTACTTGCTCTCATTCATATGTGGAATGGAAGAAATGTTGATCTCAAGACAGGGATTTAGCTCAGTGGCACTGTGTCTGCCTGGCAAGTGCAAGATCCTGAGTTCAGTTTTGGTACTGAAAAAAAAAAAGAAACATTGATCTCAAAGAAGTTGAAGGTAGAATGGTGGTCAACAGATAACAGGAATAGTTGAGGGAGGGTGAAAAATCTGAGTACCAAGTTAGGTTAGGTAAGAGCCTGAAGTTTTCATGTGCTATTTGTACAGAAGGTTGGCTTTAGATAAATGTAGTGTACTACATATTTTTAACAGCTACATTTTGAAGGCTTTTTACAATTTTCACCACACTCTATGAATGTTTGAGGAGATAGGTATTTTAACCTGATTTAAATATTATGCAATGTATACTTACATCAAAACACATTATTCCCCATGAGTTAGCACAATTTTCACATTCATCTGTATCTGTTAAAAGTAAATTAAGAATTAACAATGAAATTTTGCCATATTCTATTCCTTCAATGAAGAAAAATTCTATTTGTACCTTCATTTCAGGCATTTTACTTTCAGATCTTATATTCATAAAGAATCATTTTATGTTTTGTGTTATCTAATGAATGGTATTGAGGCTACCTGATTCAATTTGTTCTCTGTTAAATTTGAGCCCATCATGACCATGAGTGGCCATGGGACTTCTCCAGGTTTCATGGCTTTCCCTCAATTGGGCTATACACCATCATAAAAATGTCTTCAGTGCGGGTATTATGACTGGGTATCACTAAAAATTTTATTGCATTCCAGGATGGTGGGCTATTTCAAGATGAGTCCCTAAAACCTACAGATGAGCTCTGGAAATGGCAGATTAATCTATGGGCCACTGGTTAAGCATTAAGGCAGGGGAACAAAAGATTAACATCAAAGACTTCATCCTGACCAAGCTGGTGTGACAGGAGAAGGAGCTGCCAATCTCTGACCACAAATCTGTGTTCAGAAGAAGACAAGTCAGGATGGGGGATTTCAGATACTGAAAGCTGTTGCACGCAATGTCTGGTTGCACTCAGGCAAAACAATCTGTTCTCCAAAGCTTGAAGATCAGCTTTTTTCACCAGTCACACAGGAAACCTCAGCAAGGTTTCTTAGCCTTAGAAGGAAGTTATAAACTGTACTGTACTGATTTACTTCTCAGTTTACAATTAATGTTCCGGCTTTGAAATTTCTCTTTCTGTTTCTAGCACCGAGTGGATTTTCTTCAGCTTATGATAAACTCTCAGAAATCCAATGGCACAGAGTCTCAAAAAGGTAACTTAAAATGTCCCAGAGTCTAACAATGGGGACTCTAAGAGAATGGGAATTGTTCTACAATTGTACAAGAGGATTTTCAAACAGCAAAAAGTTTCTGGGTAATTGCAGAAAGACACAATTGAATGATTATATACAATAGTCACAGGCACAATTCTAGAAGTACATACAGTAATATTCAAATATTGAAGTCAAGGTACAAAAGCATTTCATGCCTGAATAGCATCAGTGTTCTGGGGTTGCCCATATCAAAACAAGTGTTGGTTATCAGCTACATCCAGATCCACTGAATCAGAATCACTGCATGGAAATTTGCACCGATACATCTAAAAAGAAGGGATAGTCTCTGAAGCATGATGGTGTTCACCGTGAATACATGTTGGACAGGTTGGTTAGCTTAATTTTCTGTGAAGTGTTTAATTTTCCTCTGGTAATTAATAATAAGTACCTTTTGAGGAAAACCTTTGGAATTGTATTACCTTCCTCTTTATATTTTCATCTACCAGCTTTGTCATCTGTGGATGGTTTTTTAGGGAAACCATTATTTCTATGGCTGTTACAAAATGATGAATTTATAACTCTACATTTTCTTACATATTTATTGGTCAGTTTTTCAGTATGAAGAAGAGTCAGCAGGCCTGTCTGTCTCTCTCCTTGCTTCCATGCTTCTTTCTTTGTTTCTTTCTTTCTTTCTCCTTCTTTTTTCCTTCCTTTCCTCCCCTCCTCTTCCCTTCCCTTCCCTTTGTTTCCTTGCCTTTTCTTTTTTCTCCCATTATATTTATTGGTACATTTAAAGCAAATAATACAGTTACAGTTAACATTGGGATCTTGCACCTTTACATGCTATTTCTTGGTTCTTGCTTTTTTGCCATACCCCTGCCCTCTCTTCACCCCTTTCACTCTTCCCTCTTTACAAAAACTTTGTTTCCATTTATCCCTTTTTCACACTTTTTGTTTTCAATCCTTTTCCCTTCTCCTCCAAGTCCCATTTCTCCTCTTCCATTCCCTCTTCCCACCTTGCCCCTTTTCTCTCCCTTCCCTCCCCTCCACTCTTTCTTTTCCTTTCCTTCTGTCTTCTTTCCTATTTTTGTCAATCTCTTTTGAGTAATCTGTAAAATAAACTTATTTTTTCTTTCCATTACTATTTAGTTTGATGTTCAAATTCTGTCAGGTTTATCTATCTATGGAAGTCTTTTAGATATGGCTTCTGCGTCCTTTCTAATCCTTTTCCTTTTCATCATTGGGGGGGTGAGATAGGGTCTCACCATGTAGTTGAGACTGACCTGGAACTCACTATGTAGCCCAGGCTGGTCTCAAACTCATAGCGATCCTCCTGCCTCAGTCTTCCGAGTGCTGGGATTACAGGCGTGAGCCACCATGCCCAGCCCATCATTTATTTTTAAAGTAATCTTTTAGAAAGAAAAAGGAAGGACCTAGGTGTGATTATTCGCCTACAGATTTTTGCTTATAAATTTTTCAAAGGATAGAATTATGAAAGTTAAATATATATATACATGAAACAGAAAAAAAGATATTTCATATATCTATGTCCAATACCCATCCAGTGACATATAGTCCCCTCAAATTTCCCTAATTTACAACATGTTTCTGTGACCTCATTTCATTTGGTCAGTTTGAAGCTACAGTGATGTGACAACCATCTGATAAAATTCCTGAATTTAGCAGTTCATTCAAAAGTAATAAATGGACTGAATCCAGCACATCAGAGAAAATACATCATAAATGTACCTATGTCTACAAATACATTGACCTGTTTATTACCATCTACTTGTCTAGTTCAGTATTACTTCTGCATGAAGGAAATAATCTATAGTTTCACTGTTCAATACAGTCACTGCTCAATGTGTGTGGGACATATGTCGCAAGTGACACCAAAGAACTAAAGTATAAATTGTATTCCATTGTAATTAAAATGTAAATATTCTTGTGGGACTAGTAGCTAACATCGTGCAGCAAAGTTCTTAACTTTGAGTTTATAATTCAACTTCAATTCCTCCTGAAATTCATGCTTACAGGAAGAAAGATATTTTAGTAGAATTTTGTACAGTATCATTACAAAAATCATTATCATCATTATTAAAGGAGAGCTCTGCAGATCTGTCCAGTTCTCATTTTGTATTGTGTTTAGTTTTTAATTTTATGATTGGAGCAGGCAAAGTGTTTATTTCAAGGATTTGGATATGTATATTTCCTATTCCATTTCCTGAACAATGAGACCAATGCCTGACTGTTCTTAGCATCTCTCGGGAGAAATTCAAAAGAAAGAACGTCTATCACAAGGCCTGTTGTGAAATTAAGTAGAGCCAAGAGAGGGGGAATGTGCTAAGAAGATGATATGTGAGCCATGATTGAATAGTGCTGTAATGAATAGCTCAACACGTCTAATTTTTCCAATATTTCATGCCCAATGCCTTTTTATTCAAACATTCTTTTTTTTGCTACTCTAATACCATTCATTAGACTAGAGCCAGTCACCATTATTCTACCTGTTGTTGGTTTTTTCTGTATACTTTCTGTACAATCTGAGATCACCTATTTGGAAGGGTGGTGCCCTGAGTATTCTTTTACTTGATGCTTCTTATAGGTTGCTATTTGTAGTAGGTTTTACATACAAATCATCATATTTTTGTGAAAGTTCAGATTTTAATAGGGTAGATCTTGGATGAGCTTGAGATTTTGAGTTTCTAATCAGCTTCCAGATGCAGCTGGTCCAGAGTGTCTGTGGATACACCAAGTACCAGCAGTTTCACTCATGCCCAAAATTGTTCCTAAAGTTCCCTCAAACATATTTAGATGAAAGATCCTCTAATTTTTTCCTACAGTGATGATTTAATATTGAGAATCCTTTCAAAGTGTTTCCAGCTATTTTTAAACTACGATAATTTACATTTTTCCTGAGAAATGTTATCAGCTTCTTTTTTTTTTTCAGCTTTAATTGAGTTTATTGGTACATTTTAGGGATACAGTACAGTTACATTCATTGTTGGGATCTTGTCCCTCTACATGACATGTCTTGGGTCTCATAGTTTTATGGTAATCCAAGGGGTACACTACTTAAAATTTGTATATTAGACAAAAAGAACACCCCTTGAAATTACTCAGCTGTGTATATGAGGTTCACATATTGAGGAGGAAATGACCCAGAGTCCTGTAGATATTGATAAAGTGAATTAAAATTATTACTCCTTTTCAGTCTATTCGATAGATTAAAAAGTGAAAGCCATTTCCAGTGTGATTCTAATTTTTTTTTTTCATTTTTCTACCTGGGTATTTGTGAATTATATTTGGATTTTTCTTCATCTAAGTTGTGATGTTATACACTAATTGGCTTTCCCTAAAATGCATTTCCTCTCCCATCAGCCCTTTCTGATCTGGAGCTTGTGGCCCAATCAATTGTCTTTATTTTCGCGGGCTATGAAACAACTACCAGTGCTCTTTCTTTTGTTATGTATGAACTGGCCACTCATTCTGATGTCCAGAAAAAACTGCAGCAGGAGATTGACACAATTTTGTCCAATAAGGTGAGTGGTTAAAGTGTTAATGATAATAGCTCTAAATCACTGTCTTGGTTACTTTCTCATTGCTAGGACAAAAAAACTCAGTAATCACAAGTTGAAGGATAAAAGGTTTATTTCAGCCCACAGTCTGTAGAGTTTTCAGTTCATAGTCAACTGACCCCTTGGCAAGGTGGCCTGGCATAGGGGCATGGCAGAGGAAAATCAGTCCACAGCAGGGTAAGAAGGAGGCAGTGAGCAACAGCAACAGCCAGCCCCTTTCCCTGCAAGCCTTTTGGATGGTGCCACCCACACCTAGAGTGGGCCTTTCCATTGTATGAACACAGGACTATGATGAACCACTCGGTAGACTAATTTAGCACCACACACCCTTAATCCCAGCATCACATATCCTAGATCCAGTCAGGTCCAAAAATCCCCACTTATCAGTGCAGGAGGCTTTGGGAGAATGTGTAGATATAAGCCATACTATTCCTCTCCTGGACCTCCATGCACATTCCTTTTGCAAAAGCCATTTAGTCCATCTCTAAAAGTTACCAAAGTCCTAATAGTCTCAGTATTGCTGAAAAGTCCAAGTTCAAAGTCTCCTCTCAGATTTAAGGCAAATTCTTACCTAGAAGCCCCTCTACAAATGAAAAGAAAAGTAAACACTTTCAATATACAATGGTACAAGATAAACACTCCCATTCTAAATAGGGGGATAGAGTAGGCCAGGAATTTAGCTAAGTGGGGCTTTGACTGCCACATAAGTGCAAGGTCCTGAATTTGATCCCCAGTACTAAAAATAAAAAATAAAAATGTGAGAGCTAAACAGGGGAATAGAAAAAAGTGAGACTAGGGCTGGTGATTTAGCTTAGTGGTTCTGCCACCTGCCTTGCAAGTGCAAGGACCCAAGTTCAGTCCATGGAGAGAGAGAGAGAGCAAAATGCAAGGACACACACATGCCCTTTTTAAACAAAAGGTGGAAAATGCAGGTGCTATGTGGCTATGAGTAGCAAGCAGTTTTCAAGCAGGTTTGTGGTTTGAATCTGACAGCTTGTCATTTTGACACCTGCCTCTGTGCAGGCAAAACTCTCCTTCCCAGTGCAGCTTCCACACCTACACAAATTCCCCTGTTAGCCCACAAGATCAAACTCCTAGCAACAAGCCCAGTATCCAATCAAGTGTCAATCCTCAGGATAGTGGAGACAGGACTTCTACCCCATAAAATAGGACCCCAGCCCCAGATTTGGTGGTGACTCAACTCTGACCACCCCTTCTCCTTCACCAGAATGGCTTTGTACCACTCCCTACGATAAAAGTACTTTCACTTTTCCCTGGACTTCTCTGGCTCCTCTTTCTCTTTCTATGCCACAGACAGAGACAGGCCTTGCAAAGGTGAGTCTGGAGATCCTAGATCCCAGACCCACTGGACATAACAAAAGGGAGCCCAAAATCCAGTAGGGCAAACATGATATCCTGTAGTTCCTTGTCTAGCATCCAGTGCAATCTGTGCCAAGATGTGAACTTCAAAAGACTTATGGCCTATGGTACTACTGGTGGTTGTAACTCACATGTCTTCTGTCTTGAGCCAGCCTTGCTCACTACTTGTGGTTCTCAGAGGTTCCACATCCCTGCCTCTCCAATCTTCTGGAGTCCCCACTGAACCTTCAGTTTCACACTCACAGCTTCACACACTGCCCTCTCAGTGGTACACTGCTTGGCCTCTTAGGCCATCTTCTGAAACTTGGGCGGAAACCTTCCTCACTACAACTCTTGCATTCTGCATTCACCTAAAACCAGCACCACGTACTCTGATTTCTCTTCAGATCATATAAATCTTTCACCTTTTCAAACCAGCACTATACATGATGCCATGGTCTGCTGCCATTCTAGAACACGATGTTTTGGGGTTCTCTTCTAAAACAGTCTTTGACCTTTACAATTTTCAGACTGCAAAGGGTGGAGTCCTACTGGTTCTTGTGATATCCTTAGGCCATCTTTTCTACTGTTGAGTCCCAAAGTACTTGGCTTTTAAATGTCAAGCATTTCAAAACAAAGTTCTTCTCTGCTACATCTTAGCAGTTTTCTGAAGTTTCCTTTCTGGCCAAATGCAGAACTTTTAAAATCATTCTACTGAGACCTTTGTTCTTGATTGTCAGCATAGATATGACTAAAACTCTCCAACAGTAGACATGCCTCCATATTAGATTGTTTTGAATTTTTTTTCTTTTTTTTTTTTTTTTTGGCAGATTCATTAGTCTGCCCCACTTAATATCAGTCTCAGGCAAAGTCTCTGGGCAAGAGCAAAATGAAGACAAATTTTTAGCAGAAACCTAACACACATGATCTGGACTCCAGTTGCAAGGGAGTCCTTCCCAAATGAAACTGCTAGAGCCTGGTCTTTATATATCTAGCTGCATGCAGTCAACATTCTGGTCTTCTAAGCATAGACCAGAATCTCCCATCAAGACTGGCTCACAGAATTCTATGGCTGCTTCTTCAGCCAGCAATCTCTAAACCTTTCTGTACTCCTCCTGAAAGTCAGTTCCAAAGGCTTCTGAACCACACAGCCAGGTAGTGTCACAGCAAAGATCTCACTTTTCTGGAACCAAAATCTGTCTTGACTACTTTCTTGTTGATGTGAGAAAATATCTAACATCCACAAATTAAAAGATGAAAGGTTTTTCTCAGTTCAGTTTGTAGAGATTTCAGGTCATAGCCAGCTGAGGTAGGCAGGAGACAGTGAGCAGCAGCAGGAGAAGCAAACCTCCCTTTCTCTTTTATCCCATCCAGGATACAAGCTTTTTGGTTGGTGTTGCATGCACCCAGGTTGTGCCTTTGTATTATCCATACCCAGAACTATGTTAAAACACTCAGTGAACTACTTTAGAACCAAACACTCTTAATTCCAGTATCACATACCCTGGATGCAGCCAGCTTCTAAAAGTCCCATCTATCCGTGCATAAGGCCTTGGGGGGGAAATGCATCTAGATACAAAGCAAAATAATCACTTTCTAAGATATTCAATTCCAAAATTTTGAGCATTGACTTTCTTTAGCAGCTCTACTAATACATAATATGCAGAGAGAAATGCAAAAGGAAATATGTCATTGATGTTATTCATAGAAATAAAAGCTCTTCGTTAAAGTCTTTCAGTTCTGTTGTATTCATATCTGTTACTATAATAATAATATCTAGTAGGAAACATCTACAATATCTCTAGTGTTATGAGCATTTTCAGTCAAATTTCTGATTAGTTGACTCTACTGATATTGTTGGACATAGTTTGGCCTGTCTGTAGGCTGAGTGAGACTGGATTTGGGATGGACAGGATGACTCAGCTCTGCACACAAATCCTCATGTATCACTTATAGAGCTAGAATTGTAAAATCTAAATTATGAGCCAGGGTGTCTGACTCCTGATCCAAGCACTTAACCTATAAAATAAGGCCTCTCCATTGTCACAACAGCTAATAGCCACATAGTTCCCATGCTTTTTCACATCTCTGCCTAAACTGATATTTTGTGGAAATAAGACTTTGGGCTGAAGTGGCTGGTTTGCCAGTGAGGTGGACACAAAGCAGCATCTTCTTCCCAGGTCACAGTAAAGTCCTGAAGCACCAAGCAGGAGACTGGTCCACCTGCAGAGATTGAGACTGAGTATGGGTTCCAGGCTTCTTAGAATTTAAAATAGAACTGAAACTGTGTGCCCTGGTAGTACCCAATTGTGACCTTTTGTTACACTGGGAAATTAGGTACTAGTTACCCCTAGTTACCCCTATAAAATTATTTACAATTTTATAGATAACAAAGTATTATCAATTTTTACATATGAGGGAAGGGTAATCATGCTATTCTTATGTGCTTTAGTGTTCCTCAGTTTTTTTTCAATATAACGAAAAGCAACCACACAGCAATTTTTGACTAGAAACAAGGATTTCTTTTGTTTTGTTTCTTTAATATACACATGCAACCTGTTAAAAGATGACAGTGACATTAGCATGTTTTCCTTGAGTGTAACTGTCATAAACTATTGCTCATATTCCTCACATGAGAAAGAAAAGTAGTACATATTAATGTTGCAGATTTAAGAGTTAGGGCTAAGATATGTCCCAAAGGTCTCCCATACGCATAATTACTCTACACTTCTGGGCCATTAAGCATATCAAAGAAACTCATAGTTATTAAACTGTTTTGTATTGTTATGGTCCTTTACCAACATGAGTTATTCTTTGGACTTCCTAACACTTTACTGGTACTGCATAGGCTGAGTTGAAAGACAATACCAAAATATCATCCATGTACATCCATTTCTTCCCAGACACCTGTCACCTATGAAGCCCTAGCACAGATGGAGTACCTGGATATGGTGGTGAATGAAACACTCAGATTATATCCAATTGCTGGAAGACTTGAGAGGGCTTGTAAGAAAGATGTTGAAATCAATGGGGTGGTCATTCCCAAAGGGTCAGTGGTGCTGATACCAACCTATGTCCTTCACCGAGATCCCAAATATTGGAAAGATCCTGAAGAGTTCCACCCTGAGAGGTAAATGGCCCTTGGGAAAATAAATTCACCCTGATGCAGTCTGTTCTGAGTATGCTGTAATGTCTTTTACTAGATAGGAACTTCATTTTTGTGGTGAAAGATTAATTTTTTGCACATACTTATGTCAACAAGATTGGAAACTCCTGTAGGGGAAGGTGAATAGAAAAGATCTGTAGCTTGCAACTCTCATAGTAAAAACACAGTTGGTTTTCAATGGCCAACCAACGAAACATTCTCTATTCAATTGCTTGGGGATGAAAGTCTCTCTGACATTCTTGAACCAGTAAATATTGTGTTATTTATGTTTCATTAACTTTTTTTCCTACTATTATGGAACCAGGTTCAGTAAGAAGAACAAGGGCAACATTGATCCTTACATATACATGCCTTTTGGGGCTGGACCCAGGAACTGCATTGGCATGAGGTTTGCTCTCATGAACATGAAACTTGCTATCATCAGAATCTTGCAAAACTTCTCCTTCCATACTTGTAAGAAAACACAGGTAAGACAAATCTTTCTGTACAAATAATTATTTACAAAGAGATTTTTTAAATAAGCCCAGGGTACTTTTTAAATAAAAGTATATGCTTGCTCATTCTTTATTCTTTTCTTTGGCCATTAATTGCTTTTGGCCCATCTATACAATTTTAGGGTCACTTGGCTTTGCAGTTTTAAATATGTAGTTTAAGAAGACAAAGTGTAGCCGGGCATGGTGGCGTGCACCTGTAATCCCAGCACTCGGGAGGCTGAGGCAAGAGGATCACTGTGAGTTTGAGACCAGCCTGGGCTACATAGTGAGTTCCAGGTCAGTCTCAACTACCTAGTGAGATCCTGTATCAAACCCCCCACAAAAAAAGAAGACAAAGTGTAAAGGAGCTTCTAAACTCTCTGCAGGTTGGCGTGAAATGATATATGGTCTCTTTGTACTTGAGAAATGCTTAGATTCAAATTTAAGTCATCTGCAGATGGGACATGTTGTGACAGTTATAAAGTGCAATGTCATGTTGTCATGTGTGAACAGTTATCAGAGCTTACAGAAGCTCCCTCGTGACAGTGGGAGCTTCTATTTCCAGGACTCATGCATTTGAACATGCAGCTTCTCTCTGACTATAGGATTTCTGCATAGGAGAGGAGAATAGAGTTGATTTTCATGTTATTTGTGGCTTCAGGCAAGCTGTGTAGCTGCTCTGAAATTGTAGGTAACAGTCCTTAGCCCTGAGATTTAGGGCATTCTAGCAAACCTGGAATGAGGTAGATACTTGCTGTGAGCTCTCAAGTAATGCTTTTCACACTTCATGAGGATTTTCTTCCTCTCCCTGTACTGAGATCAGAAGGTTACTATGTTGGAGGCTCACAAAAAATTGAAGAACATGAAAAATGAGAATTGAGTAAAGAATTAGTTACAAAATTATGGACCATTTGCACTATCATTGAAAACCAAGAGGAGATGTCAGAAAAACAAAGGAAAGCATTACTGTCCTGAAAGCATCTTTCTATCATCAAACTGAATAGTTCTAAATGAATGGCTAGACTCTAGGAGTTAAGGACTGTCCTATACTTGAAGTGTATAATGCCTGCTCAAGGTTCCCTTGTAAGTTCCAACAATGACAAAAATTGTCTTTCTATGGTTTTCAAACCATAGTTTTCCACAATGTCTAAGAGTGAGGTTTAAATTTTAAAATTTATGGTATTTACTTTAAATTGTATAATTAAGTTTTTAAAATAGCATGATTTAGTCTTAGATCTGGTACAGAACAGCTGTTCATGAAGTATTTTTAAATGAGCAGATGGATTAATGTTTTCATTATTCCAAATATTGACACAGCTTAGAAAATATAAACATAAGTGATTCAAGATACATTATGCTTAACTTTCATGTATTTGTAAATCATTACTGTCTTTGCTGCACATTTTCCACTTTGCTACTGTTGGTGGTGGTGGAATAGTGATCATTTCTCCATATGTTTGTTTTACTGTTCCAGATGCCTTTGACATTTACCAAACAAGGACTTCTTCAACCGGAAAAAGATGTTCTTCTGAACGTTGTGTCAAGACAGAAGACCTTAAGTGCAGCCTAATTTTTCCAACAACCTTCTGCTATATTCTATTCTTCATGGAGGCTGTGTCATAGAACACTAGTGACTGATTTGTCCAAAAAAATTTAGAAATAAAAATAGACTTAATCTTCTGCACCTGATGAGTGATTGCGATTTTTGGATCATCACTGTGCTTGCTTACTGTGTGTGTAGAGTAATATCTATTGTATCACTTTAGGGGAAATAAGTAAACACACCCTCCCTGAGACATGTGACCACCTGTACCTACCCACACTTAGCATGATAAACATTTCCGATCAGAGAATAAACATTCATCACTAATTTAATTGACAAGTTTAGGTGAAAATGAGAATTTTTTCATGACACTAGGGGTGATATGTACATCAGATACTTCCTTTATAATATTTCTTACTAAGTATTGTATTAAGGTAGTGAATTAATGTCCATCAACAAAAGTATAACATGACACTCTTGTGCCAATTATAGAGGATCACAGGACTGATTCATATAGAAAAGTCTTCTTCATCATAAATCAGCGGAGGCATGAATCCTGTTTTTAAAACAGAATTTGATTATAAAAAGATACATAGAGTTAATGTATTGTGACTTTGCCCCTGTTCTTTGGCAGGTATATTCTTATCATTTATATCATATCTGAAGCACACATTTTTATTTAATTTTATTGGTACATTTAAGGTATATGATATAGTAACATTCATCATTGGAAATTTGTACCTTTACATAATATATCTTGGTTCTCATTTTTTCCTCATTCCCCTGCCCTCCCTTCAACCCGTCCACACCTCTCTATTTACAAAGACTTTGTTTCCAATTTTTCTTTTTCTCATGTTAATTCCATTCCCTTCTTTCTTTTCCCCTACCCCTCCCATTTCCCCTTCCCCTTTGCCCCTTTTCTTGCTATTTCATATTATCTATTATACCTTTTAGTCCTTATCTACACTTTCAGTTTCTCACACTAGAGATTCTATTCTGTATTTACACATATCTGTCCTATTTATTTCACTTAAATGTATGGCCTCAATGTGAAGCCATTTAGCTATAAATATCTCTAATTTCTCTTTTTATTGCTGAGTAGTACTCCATTTTATTTTTAAAATATATTTTCTTTATCCAGTCTCCAACTGATGGGCAAATGAAATGCTTCCAAGATTTAGCTATTACAAATTGTGCTGCTATGAATATGGGTACATATATACGATGGTAGTATGATTCTTTTGAGAATATACCCAGCAGGGGAGTAGCTGGGTCAAATGGGACTTCCAATACTAGCTCTTTGAGGTATCTCCATATTGATTCCCACAGTGGTTGCACCAGTCTACACTCCCACCAGCAGTGGAGCAGTGTTCTTTCCTGCAGTCCTGACAGCACTTCTACTTGGTTGATTTCATAATACTACCAATTCTATCTGGGATGAGGTGGAATCTCAGTGTTGTTTTCATTTGCATCTCTCAAATAACCAGTGAGGTTGAATATTTTTTCATTTTCTTAGTTGCTATTTCTACTTCTTTTTCTGAGAAATGTCTGCTCATTTCAGATACCCATTTTTTGATTGGGTCTTTAAATTTGGAAAGGAGGTCTGATTTTTTTAAGTTCTTTATACATTTTAGATGGTAGACCTTTGTATGAGGAACAGCTGGTGAAAATTTTTCCCACATTGTGGGGTGTCTCTTCACACTGTTGGTGGTTTCTCTTGTTGTGCAGAAACTTTTTAATAAAAAAGTTGATTGTGCTATTTCAAGGACAACTGAGGTTTTGTTCATAAAATCTTTTCCTACACCAAGGTACTCAAGAGTTCCACCTAACCTCTCTTCCAGCCAGTTTATTGTTTCTGTTTTAATATTTAGATCATTCATTCATTTTGATTTTAGTATAGTGTATGGTGAGAGATATAGCTCTAGTTTTAATCTTTCACAAGTTGAAACCCAGTTTTTCCAGCACCACTTATTAAAGAGGCTATCTTTCCTCCAGTAAAGATGGTTGGCTCCTTTGTTGAAGATGAGGTGGTTGACCTGCCTGCCCGGGATCACCCAGCAAGGGCGTGACCTCGCGGACTGTGCACCACCAGACCCAGTAAGGACCCAAGGACCCTGGAGGGGGTCTCTTCACCCATCTGCCCGGGATCACCCGGCAGGTGCGCGACCTCCCGGACTGCACGCCACCAGACCCAGTAAGGAAGGTAGCCACACAGGCCCGCTTGAAACACCCCCACGACATGCCACCACCCTTTCTCAAACCTCCTGATTGGGCCAGTCCTTGGACCAACTCTGCAGAGGCATAGGTGGTCATGAAGGGTAGTTTTCTCAGCTCCCAACTTTGAACATCTCTAAAGAAAGGGCAGGGGAAACCTGTAATAGAACTGAGTGGAGTTCAACACTGCAGGTTGGGAAACTCAAGTTAGGCCTTGTGGACTGAGAACAGTCTGAGTCGTGGGGACCTGCCTTTGGCTAGCCAAGATCAGGGGATTCGGTTCTGCATATGGCTGTACATGTGGTATGATATGAGAACAGAGACACAGTCTGAAAGAGGCCCTTCAAATTCTTTTTTTTTCTTTTCTCTTTTCCTCATTCCACCCTAAAATTTCTTTCTTTTTTCTGTCCTCTCTCTCCAACTCAGTCTCTTGCTCCACCATATTATCCCTCATCTCCCATTTTATTCCTGCTCCTGCCCTAACTCAGACTTCTTTTCTTACTTTTTCTTTTTGGGGGGGTTTCTCTTTGTGCTCTTTTCTCCAGTCATTTTACCTCACTCATGGCTCTGTACCTTCAAGGGAAGGCAAGCGCCTGTTGTTAATGGGATTTATTCTTGTCCTTATCCTGGCACTCTTTCTAGCCCCCCTGAAGGTAATAGCTTTGTGAAGATAGTAAGGTAATTCTACATCCTCTGGATTCACTTCAAACCTGCTCCATTTCTTTCACTTAATGCAAACATAATGGGCTGCTTCTTGATATTAATTTAATTCACATGGGTTAAAGGTGATACATTAATGACTACCACAAGTGGTCAGTTTGCAAGCTGTGCCTGATCCTATTGGGCTGCTAAATGTATCAATTGGGATTAAGAGTTGTGATAT